CTCTACTGATCTTAGGAATGAAATGCAATAAATCACCTATCTTACCAGCAGAGAATGGTAAGAAATTGACAATTGCTATTATCTTGAGCATGATACTTTGGCCACCTCATGAGAATAGAAGTCTCCCTGGAAAAGACCCTGATATTGGGAAAGATTGAGGGCACAAGGAGAAGGGGACGACAGTGGACGAGATGGTTCGACAGTGTTCTCGAAGCTACTAACATGAGGTTGACCAAACTGCAGGAGGCAGTGGAAGACAGGAGCGCCTGGCGTGCTCTGGTCCATGAGGTCAGGAAGAGTTGGACATGACTAAACCACTAAACAACAACAACACATCTCTCCCTTATTTTCTCTGTCTTTCTTACAGAAGACAACAAAGAAAAAGAAAATGGATATAGTAGAACAACACATAAATAAAAGTTGAAAAAGAATCATGTCCATCTGCCCCGCCCCCACATTCTACCTGTGGAATCTTGTAGATGCCTAAGAGTGTAGCCATGTAAAGGGAGATTTCACAATCAAGTCCCCCAATGACAGCTATCAGATTCTTTTGCTTATCACATTTAAAATTTGGAACAATTATTTTGTAGCTGGAAAGAAGTTTCAATGTGTTCTGATGAGTCATCCTTGCATTTAGGTAACTATCATAAATGTGGAAGCCAAGGCTGCCATTTGGTAAGGTCTTGGAATTCATATTGACCTCATTCACCGCAAATACCAATGACAAAACATGCTGATAGTATTTTGTTCTTGCCCTAAAGGAAAAGTTACATTATGTGTAAGACAGATATTGAGCCCTTCATCAACCATCTGTTTCATAACATCTATTTGACAGCATGCCAGCTGACAAAGTTGTCATGGCTGCAAATATTATCAGAATTCTTAAGATTGTATTCTCTCTACTGACTCATAAAAAATAAGAAACCAATAGAAAACAAGCCTTTATAGTAGTGTTTGAGTTATACCATTTCCCCACCCCCGGCTTAGTTTATGCTGGGTTGCCCGATCAAGTGGCCATAGATGTCAGGGGCTATGACAGGCACTACTCAATTATAAAAGACCCAGAAGAAAAGTTGGGCTGTGGGCATATCCAAGAATGGGACCAATTCTATCACTGTTGAACACAACTTCTCATTCCCCTTCCCAGCTGGTTCCTTCAGAATTTGCCTTGCAAAAACAATTGCCATGCTGCTTTCTGATTATGCCAATGCTTGGCTCACACACGTTTATCAGTTATGACCTCGTTTAGTGCACGCAGAAGGTAAAACAAAAGACAAAGCAAAGCAAAGCAAAGCAAAACAAAACAAAACAAAACAAAATGCCTTACAAAAGTCCATCTACAAACTTGGTTGTTGGATGTTCACTGAATGATATGTCATCAAATATGCAGCCATACAAAGCTGCAATTGCTCCAATGGTAATGTCTCCTGCTTTATAATACTGGTATGGGAGCTGGAAGGGATTAGTCATGTCACACATAACAGTGGGTGCCTTGCACTCAGTCTGAGGCAGCTGCATTGACAGGATGAGCAACAGGAAAAGAAACACCCCTGTCATCTTTGCCTACGTCTTGATGCAGAATATCTTATTATCCAGTTTCAACCTGGTTGAAAAAGTGGCATTAGATCCTTTACATTAAAAAAAGATTTCCCAATGAACAGACGGCAGCAGATAATTCATCATTGCAGCACCAAATGACACTGACATATTATATAACAGTTTTTAGATTGTTATTGACTTTGCCTGATATCTCATTTAAAACATACACAGAGAGACACACTTGGGATTTGGCAATGTGAGTGAGGGTGCCTTATAATTTGTCATAATTAAATGTCTGAAAAGCTCTCCCAGGAGTATTGCATTGTGCAAGACACTACAGTAGAAACAAACATGTTTGGTAGATCTCAGCATACCGTATTTTTCGCTCCATAAGACGCACCTGACCATAAGACATGCCTACTTTTTAGAGGAGGAAAACAAGAAAAAAATATTCTGAACGAAACAGTGGATGTATGATTTTTGTGGTTCATGCTGTGGCCACAGACATGTGATTTGACGTTGAGTTTGGGGTAGCCCAGTACAAAAATCCTGAGAATCCATGTGGATCCGTGCTTTGTAACCACATTTTTTGCGCCATTGCGGCCCTATGCAACAGTGGGTGCGTGATTTTTTTTTGATGCAGGCTGTAGCCATGGACATGCTATGTGATCTGAGGGTGAATTTGGGGTGACCCGATGTAAAAATCCTGAGGATCCATGGGTTTTTACCTCCCCCTCCCAAGCAGACTCTTTTATCGTGTCCCTTATCTCTCTCCCGATCCTACCAATCAGCTGTTTCCTTTCAACACTCCTTTCCCTCTTGTTTGCCTTAGTGTCTTTTCCTTAGCTGGAGCAGTTTTTTGCTCCTCCTTTTCTTCTAATTTTTCTCCTCATTGATTTAGTCTTCCTGTCTCCTCTCCTTGCAAGTGTGCTGTCTTTACCTCCCCCCCTCAGGCAGCCTCCTTTATCTCTAGCGTCCCTTATCTCCCTCCCCGATCGCTTGCCGATTAGCGGCTTTGTTTCAACACTCACTTCCCTCTTTCAAAAAAAAAGGGGGGGAGCATGATCTGCTTTTCACCCCTGGGCAATTCAGCTCCAGGGACCACACATTCGCTCCATAAGATGCACAGACATATCCCCTTACTTTTAGGAAGAAAAAAGTGTGTCTTATGGAACGAAAAATATGGTAGATTACAATCAGTCCTGCGTCACCATTACAGTGGTAAACAGTGAGCCTTAGACCTATGCTCTGGCGAAGTTTCAAGCATCATCTAGACTCTATGCTAATATATCGTCAAATATGCTCTGCTGTAATATTATGGCAGCATTATCTGAATGCCAGAGAATTAGTAAGGGGGTTGTCAAAAATAGTGGAGGTTTTTTGAGGTCATATCATATATTTATAATGCTATGACATCATTACCGGACTGCCAGATAATTAAGCTCTGGGAAAGTAAAAAAAAGGGGGGGGCTTATTTAGGCTCATGTTGAGAAGTAAGTAGTTGTATGTTTGTTGAGATTCATTACAAATTAGTAAGACACACCTGTTATCTTAAAAAGAACTGACTAATTGGTATCAGAACCAATTAGTGTGGTCACAGTGTGACCCAAAGTGACTTACATTGAAAACTATGAAGAACAACTCAAAAAACTAAAAACACAGCTATACAATAAAAAGACAGGACTAAAAGGTGACAGGAACATAGAGGTTTTGAGCAGGGGTTGCTGGAAGGAATAAGGAGGAAGAAGGACTGGGATCCATCTTTGCGAGAAGCTGGTCGCAGAGCTGGCTGGGACAGATGCCTTGGGCTCCAGGGCTGCACTGCTGTGGGGTACAAGCCCCTCTTGAAATGACCTTGCTGTAAGATCTGGACTCCATACAGACTAAAGGTGCAAATAGGTGAATAAACCATATTTCTTAAAGCTACAACATTATCTGCCATGCCCCAATTCTCCAAAGGACACAGACTTTTTTACAATATTCAGATATTTCAGTTCCTATATATCCCTTCTTATTAGGTGCTCCCTGATGTTCAAGCATGGCCTCAGGATAATAACGTAACATTTAGAGGCAAAAATACAATGTAAGAAGCCAAAACTAGAAGCCAAGCTGGAGAAAATTTCCACAGCCACCATGAGTTTTCCCTTGGTGCTCAGGTAAGAGGGAATAAAAGACAACCATACACTACAGAAGACCAACATGCTGAATGTAATGATTTTTGCTTCGTTGAAACTGTCTGACAACTTCCTAGCTAGGAAGGCCACAATGAAACTTACAATGGCTAGGAATCCCATGTAACACAGGACACAATAAAAAATAGTGAGAATGTTGCTGTTTGTATTGCTGTTTGAAAACTTTCAATGGGGAAGAGAACCTGGAGAGTCTTCCCAGAAATGTGTTTGAAATGAGCATGACTGGATGCAGCTACAATGTCTGCAATGCAGTCTATGCAGTAGCACATTCTTTGCATGCCATATACAAATTCAGCCATAAAGATATAAGGTTGATAGAAGGAGAGAAATTATTCCGCCCGCCCCCCTAGAATGTCCAACCATGTTGGATCACTGCAACTCATTAAAAAAGAAAGATGAGGTAGTTTTTGATTAAAAATAAATTAATTAAATGGATTATTAATCTGCACAATATAATCCCATACACCTCTCCATACTACTACTTCCTCTCACTAAGGAGTGTCCTTGAGTATTTCAACCCACATAAGAGGCTCTGCATAAACCAAAACAAAATTTGAAAGTGGGCACCCTCATCTCAATCCTGAGACTCTGTCCAATCAGCATGGCTGGCTTTGTAGTTTGCTGACTAGCTGGCTGGCAATCAGGAATAGCTGTTTCCACTCACTCGCTCCACAGTTCCACAGTTTTGACCCAATAAGATGACAAGCAGGGTTGGTAAAGCTAACAAGGAGTGAAAACAGGTCAGTGTCTCCCCAATATAATTTATCTGCTTTTGTTTTGCTTTGTGTTGTTGTTTTGTTATAGGGCAGATTAGGAGTGATCTAGTTATTGGGTGTGTATGCTTGACTGTCTCCCCATTGTTATGGAAAGATTACTCCCTAGTGATATTTGGACTGACTGTGATTGCTTCTTCTTGTAGGGGCTAGGGTACCATTAAGGTAGTCTGCCCCAGAAGACGATTCCATCTTGCCGGTTTTCTTTAGTTTATTAATTTAAATAATATTTGACTTCAAATGTCCAATCTAACAAAGGCCTTTAATTTCCTTGATCTTTACCACTCCTCCCGTTGTTCTTTCCGTGTCGTAATCAGTCCTTTATTCTTCTTATTCCTCACTTTCTCAGGTTTCTTGTCCTGTTCAGCTGCTAAAACTTTCTAATTCAGAAATCTAGTGTCTCTGCAGAGGTTTGTTATTCAGGAACAAAACTTACGTCCAGTCCCTTTCTTTCTTCAATAAAAATTCCATTGTCTTCCTCTGTAGACAAAATACTCTTTCAGTTTTGCAGCTTTCCCAGAAGATAACAAATCCTGTGCGAATCCCAGGGTATTTTTCCACTTACGACCGTTCTTGTAGTATCCCGAAACCCCTCTAGGGGGATTGTAATAACTTTGTATCCTCTAATCCAAAAGTCAAATTGTTGCTTATTTTCCAACAGTTTATATCCATATTATAGCAAATTGTAACAAAATTAACCAGCAAGGTCCTCGTAAAGTCCTCTTTATATTCTCCAGCTTTGACAGCCACTTTGACAGCTGTCAAAGTCTCCGTCTCTCTTCACCAGGCTCCACGAATCGCCCCGGTTCCCAGGGGGGGGGGTTGCATTTTTCTTCTCACCCTCCACTCTTCTCCTCCAGCACATTTCTTATAATTTCCCATCGTGAAATTAATGATTTTTATCAGAGACATACTTCCCTTTGGACCTTGGTTACCCAGTCCTTGTTTTGGAATGTTTACAATAGGGGGGGGGATTGACTTCCTTTTTAAATCGCCCCCGCTCGTGCCAAATCCAAAATTTTAAACCCGGTTTCCCAATTACTCACGGGTTGTTGTTAATAGTCCAAATTTTCAGTAGAAGAAGTCAGCGCTCTCCGCCGAATGGCATGCGGCTGCGCTCGGCAGGGAAAGCAGTGGTCTCAACGCACCCCGCCACTCCCCGGCACCCGATCCGACGCCTTTCAAAAGGCTCCGTCACGAGTCGGGAGGGCGCTAATGGTGCAAGCCGAGTCACCCATGTCCACGGACTCCGTGCCCGTGGTTTTTAAGGGTCCCCGCGTCGCCGGCGCGGTAGGACCCAGCCCCTGCCGAGCAGACTCCCTCCGGAGCTCGGAGGGAGTCCGCCATTCGGCGATGGCGCTAACCCGGAAGTCCAGAAGACTTTTGGAATCAGAAGGATTCTAGACTTCACTTGGCAAATTTCTAGTTCTCATGGCTGGTGCTCCCACTGATGTCCTGTATTTGTTATGGGACAGTGGGATGAACTCTTCTGAGCCCCTCTCCAAAATGATGGAGCTTTGAATGGTCCACTGTTTCCCAAGGACCTTGGGTCTATGGAGTGAACTAGACATCAGAGTGCAGGTGACACAAACCCCAAAGCAAACATGGCAAAACACAGCTTGAGGCACATAACAGCACCTAATAGCAGTGATGGCTGTGAAGAGAGTTTACTTTTGTGCCACCATTATGTCCAGAAGATCTGTTCTGAGTGGCAAATGGGCTTCTTATGTCCTGCCCAGATAGAGGAATGTGTGACAAATTTGCTAACCACTTTGATAGCAAAATTGTTCATGTTTTCTCTGAACTTGATACTGCAGTTGAATCAAACCTTGGTAATATCTTAGTTTCTTCTTTTTTTAAAATGATATTTATTAAAAGTTTAACAATTACAGAAAAAGAGAAAAAAGGAAGACAGTAAAAAGTTACAATACAATACATCAAAAGAAAATAAAAACCAGAATAAGAAAGAAAAAAAAATCAGTACATCGAAACAAAAAAGCAAAAACGTTTAAAAACAAAAACATTTAAAAACACATCCAATATTCCATATCTTTACTTTTCATTTACTTGTTTCCTCAACCTCCTCACACCTCCCTTTTTGTATTCTAGTTCAGTTAACTATTTCAGCAAATTCTTTCCATCTTTCTCAATTTTTGTTCTATAATTTATCTTAACAGTCTATCCTTCAATTTTTCCATTTTTGCCCATTATCAATCAACTTTTACTTAATTCTTTATTACATTTCTGCTAAAACCATATAACTTCATTCCAACATCCTTCTAACATTCATTAATTTTACAATATTTCTGTAAATATACTTTAAATTTTTTCCAATCTTCTTCCACCGACTCTTCTCCCTGGTCTCGGATTCTGCCAGTCATTTCCGCCAATTCCATGTAGTCCATCAGCTTCATCTGCCATTCTTCCCTGGTGGGTAGATCTTGTGTCTTCCAGTGCTTTGCAATAAGTATTCTTGCTGCTGTTGTAGCATACATAAAGAAAGTTCTATCCTTCTTTGGCACCAATTGGCCGACCATGCCCAGGAGGAAGGCCTCTGGTTTCTTCAGGAAGGTATATTTAAATACCTTTTTCATTTCATTATAGATCATCTCCCAGAATGCCTTAATCTTTGGGCATGTCCACCAAAGGTGAAAAAATGTACCTTCAGTTTCATTACATTTCCAACATTTGTTATCGGGCAGATGATAAATTTTTGCAAGCTTGACTGGTGTTATGTACCACCTGTAAATCATTTTCATTAAATTCTCTTTTAAGGCATTACATGCCGTAAACCTCATGCCAGTGATCCATAACTGTTCGCAGTCAGCCATCATGATATTATGTCCAACGTCTTGTGCCCATTTAATCATAACAGATTTCACCGTTTCATCTTGTGTATTCCATTTCAACAGCAAGTTATACATTCTTGACAAATTCTTAACCTTAGGATCTAACAATTCTGTTTCCAGTTTTGATTTTTCCACCTGGAAGCCTAGTTTTTTATCCAAATTATATGCCTCCATTATTTGATAATAGTGGAGCCAATCTCGTACTCTATTTTTTAGTTTTTCAAAACTCTGCAATTTTAATCTGTCTCCCTCTTGTTCCAGGATTTCCCAATACTTCGGCCATTTGGCCTCCATATTGAGTTTTTTCTGTGCCTTTGCTTCCATTGGTGACAACCATCTTGGGGTTTTATTTTCTAGCAGATCCTTATATCTTATCCAAACATTAAACAATGCTTTTCTGACAATATGGTTTTTAAACGCTTTGTGTGCTTTAACCTTATCATACCACAGGTATGCATGCCAACCAAATACATTGTTAAAACCTTCCAAATCCAGCACATCCGTATTTTCAAGAAGCATCCATTCTCTCAGCCAGCAAAATGCGGCTGATTCATAATAAAGTTTAAGGTCTGGCAGGGCAAATCCACCTCTTTCTTTAGCATCTGTTAATATCTTAAATTTTATTTGAGGTTTCTTGCCCTGCCAGACAAATCTAGAAATATCTCTCTGCCACTTCTTGAAACAATCCATTTTATCCAAAATTTGCAAAGTTTGAAACAAAAACAGCATTCTTGGCAATACGTTCATTTTTATCACAGCAATTCGGCCTAGCAATGATAACTTCAAATTTGACCATATTTCTAGATCCTTTTTCACTTCAGCCCAGCATTTTTCATAATTATCCTTAAATAAATTCACATTCTTAGCAGTCATATTAACCCCTAAATATTTTACTTTCTTAACCAGTGTTAATCCTGTCTCTTTCTGAAACTTATCTCTCTCCATTTCCGTTAAGTTTTTCTCTAAGACTTTAGTTTTCATCTTATTCAACTTAAATCCTGCTACCTGACCAAATTCTTGAATCAATTCTAATACTCTTTTAGTGCTTGATTCTGGTTCCTGTAAAGTCAATACCAAGTCATCAGCAAATGCTTTCAATTTGTACTGTTTGGCTCCCACTTGTATACCTTTTACCAATTGGTCCCTTCTAATCATATTTAACAAAACCTCCAGGACCGAAATAAAGAGCAATGGAGAGATTGGGCAACCTTGTCGTGTTCCTTTCTCAATCTTAAATTTTTCCGTCACTACGTTGTTCACAATTAATTTAGCCTTTTGTTCTGAATAAATTGCACCTATACCGTTTCCAAAACCTTGACCAACCCCCATCCCCAATAAGTTCTTTTTCATAAAACTCCAAGAAATGTTGTCAAAGGCTTTCTCCACGTCCACAAATATTAAAACTGCTTTGGTATTGATCTTCACTTGTAGTTTTTCTAAGATATTAATTATATTCCTCGTATTGTCGGACAAGTGTCTGCCCGGGAGAAAGCCCGCTTGATCTTTATGAATTACTTCTGTTAGCACCTTTTTTAATCTTTTAGCCAAAATGTCTGCAAAGATTTTATAATCCACATTAATCAATGATATGGGGCGGTAGTTCTTAAGCTGCGTCTTTTCAGTCTCTGTTTTCGGTAAAAGTGTGATGTACGCTTCCTTCCACGACTCTGGTGCCCTTTTCCCTTCCAATATTTCATTGCAGACTTCCTTTAAAGGTTGTATTAACCATTCTTTCAAAGATCTGTAATATCTAGAAGTCAGTCCATCCGGCCCTGGGGATTTACCCAGTTGCATATTCTGAATAGCCCCTTCTACTTCCTGTTCCGTTATTTTATAATTCAACATTAGCTTATTTTCTTGGGAAATTTGTTGTAATCCATTCCTTTTCAAAAATTTGTCAATGTCCATTTCTTTCTGTTTCTCCTGCGTATATAGTTGTTTAAAGTACCTCTGGAAGCCCTAATTTCCACTGGGTTCTGTATAATCTTACCTTCCACTTCCAAATTCGTGACAGTATTGAGTTTTTGTCTTTTTTTATTTGCCATGCCAACAATTTCCCACACTTATTTGCCGATTCAAATGTCCTTTGTCTCATCTGTTTAATCTTCCATTCTATTTCCTGATTCATCATTTTCATATATTGTACTTGATATAATTTTATCTCTTTCAAAATCTCCTGCGACTTTGGTTTCACTCTCAATTTCTTCTCTCCTTCCTTTATTTTTTCCAGAATTTTATCTTTTTTCTCATTTTGAATTCTCTTCTTAATTGCATTCTGTTGTATCAAAAATCCTCTCATGACCGCTTTACTTGCATCCCAAATTACTTTTTTTTCCATAGTAGTGTTCATATTTATCTCAAAATAGTCTCTCAAAGTTTTTTGGGCCTTCTTCATAAATTCTTCACTCCTAAACAGAGTATCATTCATCCTCCATCTAAAAGAGCCAATTGGCGTCAATTTCATTTCCATCTTCACAGCATTATGATCGGAGCAAGTTTTGGGGCAAATTTCCACTTTGCTAATTTTCGGAGCCAGCCCTCTCGTTACCCAGATTTGGTCAATTCTTGTCCATGTGATTTTAGCCTCAGAGAAGAAGGTTCCCTCTCTTCCCAAGGGGTTCTTTGTTCTCCAAATATCAATTAAGTCCGTATTTTCTGTCATATCAAAGAAAGTTTTTAGTAGTCTTCCATCCTTGGTGACTACCTGTCTCTGTGCCTTGTCCATATTTGTAGACACCACACCATTCATGTCTCCCATCAAAATCATATTGTAATCCAAATAGTCCATCAGAGTCTCATGTAACTCCTTGAAAAATTCCGATTTTCCTTCATTTGGTGCATAGATACCTACTATCAAAAAATTTTCTCCTTGTGATTGGATTTCAATTGCAACAAATCTTCCTTGATCATCTTTAAATATAAATTTTGGTGATAGGCTCTCCTTTGCGTAAATGACCACTCCTCTTTTTTTTACTTTATCCGATGAAATAAATTCTTGGCCTAATCTTTTATTAATCAATAACTTCCTGTGTAGCATAATCATATGTGTTTCTTGTAGACAAATCAAGTCCAAATGTTCTTTTTTCAATAAATGAAATACTCTCCGCCTCCTTTCAGGGGAGTTCAGTCCATTAACATTCCAACTCAAGACCTGCAACGCCATTGTTTAATTACTTTGGTGTCCCCCCAACTGCACCCAATGCTTGCTCCTCTTCTGTTGGTGGT